TGTTTTTTTTTTTTTTTTTACTGTGGGGTCCCACCTTAAAAAAGAAAAGACAGGGGGCTGGATTTAGCTCAGTGGTTCTAGCACCTGCCTTGCAAGCACAAGGACCTGAATTCGAGTTTGATCCCTGGTACCAAAAAAAAAAGAGAGAGACAGAATTAGAACAAACCTAAGAAATTATGTACTTCAATTCTTCATTCTTCATTCTATTGGGCGAAAGCCACAGTTTAAAGGAATTATAAAAGGTCACAAAGAAGTGAGATTAAGGGTTCCAAGCTTAATTTATTTATCTTTCCACTAAAGCCAAGAGTCTTTTCCACTAAAGCCACTACTGCCTTCTGCTTGCTTTTTGTTTTTGGCACCAGAGATCAAAAGGACCTTGCACTTGTGAGGCAGGTGGCAGCAACACTGAGCTAAATCCCCAGCCCCCCACTGCTTGTTTTTGAAAATAGTTTTATTGGAACATAACCACAGCGATCATTTAAGTACCACTTAAGACTATTTTCACAATGTAGCAGCACAGGTGAGCAGCTGTGACCAAGACCAATGGCCCATACAGCCCAAAATATTTAGTTTGGGCTTTAAAAAAAAGCTCAGGAAGGCTGGGAGTGTAGCTCAGAGATAGAGCACTATCCTTGGATGCCCAAGGCCCTGGGTTCAGTCCCCAGAATTTTCCCCAAAAATTAAAAAAAAAAAAAAAAGGAAAAGAAAAAGCTCACCCACCCCAGCACTAAAGTACTCTTCCTCCTAAATAATATTTACTTATGATAAACTGGGTGTTAACCGTGCAACACTCAGAATGCCAAATTCAAAAGAAAACCAGGCAGGGCCGGGGATTTAGCTCAGTGGTTCTGCTGCCTGCCTTGCAACCACAAGGTCCTGAGTTCAATCCCCAGTACAAAAAAAAAAAAGAGAGAGAGAAAAGAAAACCAGGCAGTTAGTTTAACTGCTATGAAGTGATCAATACACAGTGCCAAAACTGAGTCCATTCTTAAGACAGCTGTAACCCAAAATATGTTTGAGCTAGGCACAGGGGAGTATACCTATAATCCCAGCCCTCTGGCAGGCTGAGAAAGGAGGATCTTAAGTTCAAGCCCAGTCTAAGCAACTTAACAGGACCCTGTCTTAAAAAATAAAAAAAGGATGGGGTTATGGCTTAGTGTAAAAGCTTTGGGTCCAAACCATAGTACTGGGAGGGAAAAGTACATTTGCATTAATGTACATGTATATGTAGGTGTACATCCATACACACGCAAATATATCCGTATCAGCTCAGTATGAAAAAGGACTTGCATTAAACCTGTGGACTTACTATTTTTCTCTCAGTCTCTTGTATGTTTCCATGTCAGGTTTGATCTGCTTGGTCAGCCGGTGATACTGGCGTAACTGGGCAGCAGCATAATCTAAAAATAAAATAAGAATTAGAGATGACATATATTCTTGTTTGGCCATTATTATTCAGAGAAAAATCAAAATGAGCAATATATGCATAGGATAGTAACCTAAGCACAGTCTCTATCCTGAATATGCTGGTTAAAAGAAAGATGCATTTTATCAGGAAGAATAAAAGAAGCCAGATGACTGTAATGTAGCCTTTTTAGCTTCTGCCCTATGAGATGTACGTGTAATTTTCTTGGCCTCTTAGACAAAACTCCATACAGGAAGAACAAGGTGCCTATTTTTGCACTAAACCACATACGCTAAATGGCAATGCTTGCTTAATAATCTTGTTCAATACAGAAAAGGTCGATTTTACCTGAAAATCCAAGATCAGGGTTTTTTCGCTTCTTTTTCCTCTCCCACCTTTCTGCATCTTCTGCACTGATCTCTAGCAACTTCACCTTCTCATAGTCTTCCCCTCTTGCTGCACATTCCTAAAAGGAAAAACACAGTTGGCACCATAACCATAATACAAACAATTATTTGATCTATTTTAAGTCAAAAATATCCAATAAAGATATCAAGTAACACTTTGTGTGCTTTTTGGTTTTTTGGATTCTGGGCACTGCTATGTAGCAGGCAGACCTTGAACTCATGATGCTCCTGTCTCAGCCTCCCAAATGCTGGGTTATAGGCATGTACCACTCTGCTTGGCTTCAAGTAATACTTTTTAAAAACTGACTGATACATAAAGGACATTTGGGAATCTGCTATGGTATATAAGGAAGATGTCAGAACCATTTTAAATGTTTGCATGCATTAACACATTTAACTTCTAATTAAATCTGAGAAGACAGGGGGTATGAAGAAGTTAAGTAACTCATCAAAAGCATGGCAGCAGGTAAAGAGCAGAGCCAGGATTTCAATTCCAGTCGTTTGGCTCCAGATCTGGGCTATTCAACTACCACGTTCTCCTGTTCAGTACAAGTCTCCTGTTCGGTACAAGAGAAGGATGGGAGAAATTACTTAGGAAAACAGAGGAGTAACTGCTAACCTTTTTCTTTTCTTCTTCTTGTAGCTCCCATTCCAAACGGGCTTTTTTGGCTTCCCAATTTGCAGGTAACTTAAGTCTTTTATCTTCTTCCACAACTTCCTGGTGATTTAATTTACGAGCTTCATTCTAAAATCATAAAACAAAAAATAAATAAGTAAAAAAAAAACAAAAACAAAAACATAAAACAGAAAGTTCCTCAGATGAAACATGCAAAGAAATACAAATACAGCTTCTCTTTCTTCAAGGAAGGTCAAGTCAAACACATTAACCAGATGACCCTATGTTATCCTAAAAGCAACACAGAGCTATCAAATGAATTTAAACAAGGGGTCAGCCTGGTAAGGTCTGCACTGGTATACAATCAAGAAAAAGGCACTGCACTGGTTTGCTGTTCCAGAGTCCCAGGAGTTATTATCAATTTTTGCCTCTGTGTGTTCCCTTGAGTTGGAGTTGGATCAGAACAGGGTTTTGCAAAGTAGGGGAGCCACTGAAAAATATTCTACTTCTAAATACTGATTAATTCAAAGAAAAACCCTCAGTTTGGGGTTGAAGGGCTTTAATACCCATCTTAATATTTGTAACACTTTCCCAGGCTCCCCTCCTTTTTAAATATTTTAAGTTGACCTTGTGACAAAAGGAACTCTCCCATTTGAAGTATTAATGAAGAGTCTATTTTCAAACAAACTTAACTGTATAAATTACTTAACTGAGTAAATTACCTTAAGCAAAACTTAATTCAGATATTTCTTAGGTTATAGACTAGTGGCAGTTAGCCCAGGTCAGCTTCCTAATTTCCAGACATGTTCTTTACACAATCCCACTAAGTAAATATCTAAGCATGTCAGTTTATTAACTTTTTCTGGACAAAGAGAGATAATCTTCTCAACTATCACTCCTCATAGATGCTTGGCTCTGGCAATGCAATGCAATGCCCTTCAGTCTAAAGCCAAAGTTGGATTCGTTGCATGGAAAGAGCAAATACAGGGAACATTTCAATGACAGTGTTCAATGGAGCTAATTACAGAATTTGGGTTTGGATCAGGTGACAGGCAGTAAGATTCAAGGCTCTGAATTGGGCATTCTACAATTAGCTTAAATCTCTATGTAGAAGGTAGGACTAAAGGCTGGAATTAGTAGGTTAGTGGTGTTCAGAAGAAAAAAAGGATGTGCAGTCATTTCTGTGATTTCAACAGTCTTGATTTTGTCTCACTGCAATAGCTCGAGTGATGGGGAACCACATCCAAACTGTCAGTTATAATACATTCAAAACCAAAATAGAGACTGCTTTTTCTTTAGTTCCAAATGTATCCAAATGCTTGTTGGACTCTTACCTCTATTACAAATTCCCTTCATTTGTGTTTGTTCCCTCTGCTTGACTATTTCCTCCTCCAACTCCTTTATTTGATAATTACTCATCTTTCAAAGAATAGTTTTGGTGTCACATCTTGAATGAGACACTCCTTCAAACCCTCAAAACTGTAATCTCTCTATCTCTGCACTCCCTGGGCACGCTATTCCTACCTCTAGCATTGCATTTACCACAGTATAATTTCTGGCTATATGATGCGTCCTCTAGTTCAGAACAGAAGCCTTAATTTTAAACATCTGATCTCCCATCCATCAGCTGGACCACCACACTGTAGAGACTTTCAGAGGTGTGCTGAGTATTGGGGGGAGGGAAAAGAAAATGGTGGACAGCATCTATGCAGTTCTGGCCTTGAACTCATTATGTACCTCAGGCTGGCCTAGAGCTCGCAGCAATCTCCTGCCTCAGCCTCCCAAGTGCTGGGATTACAGGTGTGTGCCACCACGTCCGGCTTTGTGCTCGGTATTTTTTAATTAATACAACAGGTTTTCTTCCAACTTCTAGCTCTACACATTTCCCTAGATAAATGAAGAGTTTGTTAGAATCATAGGCTGTTAGTAATGGATTCTCAAATCTACCCCTGATAAACCAGACTGGGAGGTGGTGAAGACAGCAGATGCATTTTCAAAAGTTCTCAGTTATCTCAATGTGCTGCCAGGGTTAGAACCACGGAACACAGCTTTCGTTTCAGGGGATGATCCAGCTCCGTGAGCTGTCGGCTTTCTCGTGCGCTTTCCTTGTCCCTATACAAAGAAAGACGCAGGAGCCTGGGCAGGTGAGTGGGCTGAGCTACCCTCTGGGGCCACTCACCCGCTTCAGATGCAACTCCCGGAATTTTCGCAGTCTCTGTTCACGCTTCTGTGCGGCCAGCTCATCTGCCCCCGAGCAAGACCCCTCCTCTGCGATGTCCACCGGAGCCTGCGGCAAAAAGAACCAGCCTCAGGTGGGGCTCGACTTCTCCCGGGTCTGCCCAGGCCGAGTTCCGGTGGGTTCCGACAGGCCAAGCTCGGGCCCAACGCCGCCGCCACGGCCGCCCACCGTCTGCGCCTTCTTGGCCGTAGACCCAGGCTCTCGCCTTCATCTATCGCCCCTGCTTCTCCCCAGAACTCTCACCATTAAAAACTCCGAGATAGGCCATTCGGCACTCACCTTCTCGACTTCAGTCGCAGCCGCCATGATAAGACACCCTCTTCCGACTTCCGGCAACAACACAGAACACTTCAGTCGGCCTTCGGGCGGCCCTGCCAAATATACAAAAAAGCGGCTACAAGCCCCGCCCCTTCCGCTCAGCCTCAGAAACTTGGGACCAATCTCTGCAGTGAGACGTTTTTTCTTTCCGGTGTGCGCAGCCGCAGAAGGTTGCAGAGTCAAGGACGGGGAGGAGTGAGGTAGGATAAACTGGGTTGAGAGGATCACAGAAGAGGACAGCAGAGAAAAGGTCCTGTTAAGAAGTCACCTTTTAGCGTTGAAAGACAAGTCTTCCTGGACTGTCGAGCGTCATATAGTCCCGTAGTACTGCTGACACTATTTTGATTCCCTTCCATAGCAAAAGATACTTGTCCTGTCTCTTGACTGCAGAGAGCAGTCCAGTTTTGTTCCTTCCTCACCCACGGAGGAAACAGCGCTAAAGTTATCAAGATAAAGCAGTAAAATGCTGGGTAGAAGCGAACATATGGAAACTAGTGTTTTCTGAGCAACTAATTAGATGTAGAAATGAAAATGTAATCTCCCAACTAAAAAGGTTTTTAGATATAAAATTTAAGCAGTAACATGGGCCAGGCGTGAAGGTATACACTTGTAACCCCATCACTCTTGGAGGCTGAAGCAGGAGGATTGCAAGTTCGAGCCCAGCCTGGGCAATTTAGCCACTTAATAAGACTGTCTCAAAAAACAAAAAGGACTGGGATGTAATTCAATGTAAAGGCTTGGGTTCAATCCCTAATACCAAAGTAAATAAAGATACATAAATACATAAAAATATTTTCTGGTTGGAAGACATCACAAAAACAGTATCTTAAAAGAATTTATAAATATAATATTCTCATCAAAATCTAGGGTTAGTTTTTTTTTTTTTGAAATGGAAAATAATGTGACAAAAATTCAAAAGTTTGAGGGCCAAGGGTATAGCTCAGGTGAAAAGCCCTTGCCTAGTATATGCAAAGCTCTGGATTCAGTACCCAGCCTGGCAAAACAAACAAACAAAAAAAAATCTAAAAGTTCAATAACACATTGTATTAGTTAAGACTGTAAAGAAAACTGCATTCTAAATAAATTGCTGGTAGGACTAAAGATGAGTCCAAACCCTAGAGAGGGCATCTTGGAAATATCTATTAAAATTCCAAAATTGTGCTTTAAACCTGTATCACACTTCTGGAAATCATTCTAAAGATTCAATTGCCCAGGTATTAAATGACTCATGTATGAGATTCTTTTTTTAGACAGGGTTTCACTATGTAGTTGAGACTGACCTGGAACCCATTATGTAGCTCAGGCTGGTCTTGAACTCACAGAGATGCCATCCTCCTGCCTCAGCATCCCAAGTGCTGGGATTATAGGTGTGCGCCGCCACACCCAGTTCAAGATTCTTCATTTCAGCGTTTTTTTTTCCCCTTTTGGTAATAGCAAAAAATTTGAAACAACTCAAACATCTATCAGTAGAAGTTCAGTTAAATAAATTATGCTACATTAGGTGGAACTCGGTAGCAAAGGAATGCAGCAGCTCTCTAAATACTGACTTGCAAAGATCTCCAAAATGCCACGTTGTGGAAATGTATACACAGTGTTTTGTTTTTTTTTATTTAGTTTTGGTTTTTTGAGACAAGGGTCTCACTGTATAGTTGAGACTGACCTGGAACTCACTATATAGCTCAGGCTGGTCTCGGACTCACAGCAATCCTCCGGCCTCAGCCTCCCAAGTGCTGGGATAACAGGCATGCGCCACCACACCCGGCACCATAGTGTTGTATTTATAGTAGTAGGTAGGATTAGGTTACTAGGAGTATGTTTTTGTTTTGCATAAGGAACTCAGGATAGATGCAAAGTGAATAGAAATGATAATCTGTTAGGGGAAAGTGTTTCAGAACTCATAAATTCCCCTATACTGGGGGAGATTTTTGTTTTGTTTTGTTTTTTGTTTTTTTGAGACAGGGTCTCACTATGTAGTTGAGACTGCCCTGGAACTCACCACGTAGCCCATGCTGGTCTCGAACTCACAGCGATCCTCCTGCCTCAGCCTCCCAAGTGCTGGGATTACAGGCGTGTGCCACCACACCCAGCTCACTGGGGGAGATTTTTAAAGATGTCCTGGAAGTGACCTCATATCTTTGATGTAATTGACAGTGCCCAGGGTGAAGCTGGAGAAGGAAAACAAAGAGAAAAAGAAAATTAAATAGGCCCCAGGGTCTCTGTTTGCTGGACTCACAGATGTTCAGAGGTAGCACTGATGGTGTTTTTCCTATTCATTTGTATTTTGTTGTTGGTCATGGTGCACGGTAGTCGTGGTGGACATCAAACCCAGGGCATTTATCTACTGACCTATATCCCCCTAACCCTACTCATATTTAAATGTGAATCTAGGTTATTTCTCAAACTTCAGGTCACCTGACTACTGTTAAACTACAAATTTAAATTCAAGAAAGTTCATTGGAAAAAAAAAAAGTTCAGTGGACATTTCTGAGGAAAGCTTTTCTCAAGATACTGCTTTCCATCTTCACTATTAAAGACCAAAAATAAAGAAATTCCATGTTTGTGCTGGGTGTAGTGGTGCATGCCTGTAATCCCAGCACTCAGGAGGCTGAGGCAGGAGGATCATTGAGTTCAAGACCAGCCAGAGCTACAAAGTTTCAACTACTTAGTGAAACCATCTCAAAAAACAAAAAAAGTTTTTAAAAAATTTTGTGTCCAGGTCTGGGGATTTAGCTCACTGGTTCTACTGCCTGCCTTGCAAGCACAAGGTCCCAAGTTCTATCTCCAGTACAAAAAAAGGAGGGGGGCAGGGATTTAGCTCAGTGATTCTGGGGCCTGCCTTGCAAGTACAATGACCTGAGTTCGATCCCTGGTACCAAAAAAAAAAAAAAAATTTGTGTCCATTACTGAATTGAAGACAAAGACAACTGGAAATGGCTTTCAAATGACAATGCAGAAACTGGTTACTTTAATGGAGAAAAATGCTCAATTTTTTAAAGATTCTGAGACATATACAGCTGAAATTAAAATTTGGAAAGAAGGGCAACTATCTAATCTTCAGAAACCATTTTGACTGCCAAACCATACTGGTAAATGAGGATCTTTCATAGTTTGTGAGGAAGGGTCCTATGTGTATTTTCATGATTATATATTGTATTTACTGTTCATGCATCTTGAAGTCTTATGTATTTAAATTGTTTTTTTTTTTTTTTGGTACCAGGGATTGAACTCCGGTCCTTGCACTTGGGAGGCAGGCCACCGAACCGCTGAGCTAAATCCCCAGCCCTTAAATTGTGCTTTTAATGTGATACTTCTGGGCCTAAAAATTCTAACGTCTGTTTTCCTGAATTTTGTTAAATGTCTGGACTTGACTCAAGTTGGGAGCTTTAGAGGCAGGGATGCAACGATACTAATTTTTTTTCAAACTGTGATGAAAAGGTGACAATGGCTTCTGGAATTCACCCCAATCTGTCCTCCTCTTTAGAAGCAGGCACAAGTACAAGTGCGTATCTGTCCCACACTCTACACTACAACCTCAGACATCTATGGGAAAAAGGAGATGGATCTTATGAGATGATATAAAATGCCATCTTTCAAAATGCAAATACCCTCGGAATAAAGTTAAAACTAGTAAAACATTATTAAATATATAATGCAATTTAAGAAAAAAATGGAATTTAAATCTTTATTTCATCCAACTAAAAAGAACACAACTTAAGTAGTAATTGTGGGAAATATAGGCTAAAAAAACAAATTCCATAAAAGATCATTTTTGTGCCATTGATATAAATTAAAGTATGACTAGGGTTGGGATAAGTCAGACACACTAGGTAAGAAATTCCAATCTGGCAAACGAGGAGCTGATAACTAAAGATGGTAATAGAAGTATTAATAATGGCCAGGGATTTAGCTCAGTGTGCCACTATCTGCCTCACAAGTACAAGGTCCCAAGTTGGGAGCCCAATACCAAATTTTTTTAAATGGCAAGTGACTGTGAAAAACATGCCTATAAAATGAATAAAACCTACACTGTCAAACAGGACAAATCTTTCAAACAAAAAAAATCTCATCCGTATTTTTAGTCTAAAAGAATTTTTACTTTTAGCCTAGGTTCCAGCAAGATATGCTTTGTTGCTTAAGCAAAGCATACTAAACTCATTAAATTTATGAATCTGGTATCTTACATTCAATTAAACATCAAGTAACACTTGTGAAAATGTAAAAATTAAGTTTTTCTAGAGCATATGTAGTTACACATAAACAAAAATAGTGTAACCAGTTCATACTAAAGTGTGTTTACATTTAAAATTGTGCTACCTAGGCATGGTAGCGCACGCCTGTAATCCCAGCAGTGGGGAGGCTGAGGCAGAAGGATTGCTGTGAGTTCAAGACCATCTTGAACTCTGTACAGACCAGCTAAAAAAAACAAAAAATGCATTAAGGAATCTCTAAATGGTTTTATGAACTTTAGTATTTAGAGTAGCTACTGTAACTCAACAAATTTTAGACTTAGTGAGGCAGTCCATTTCAGTCGTTTCTACTGTGAGCCACTCGGGACATGGGCTATTCCTGCACAGTAAACTACCACACCAATGTTTCATAAACTTTAAGCAAACTTCTCAAACTACTTACTCCAGACCTGGATTTTCAATGAGAAAACTTTAAATAAGAGATGCTGCCTAATGCGTCTTCATTAAATAAATATACACAATAAAGACAAGTAATAAAAATAACTTTATTAAATATACAAAACATACAGTTCAATTAGTCTGTCTTACAAATATCACTTCACAACTGATAAACAATATTTACAAATATGTATAGAAGACTCCCACCTGTGTAATCGCTGATCCGTTTGTGTTCTCACATCTTCAAAAGAAACCTAAAATGTTAATATTTTACTAGTAAATATTTATGTATCTTTGCATTGATTTTTAATGGCAGTAATTATAAAAAAGAATGACTCAAAGATATGGGATAATGCTGGAAACAAACTTGTAATAAAGTGCAGTTTGAGGCAACCTTAAGCCATTCATTTTCTTCTTTTAGACAGGTATCCACAGTCCATATGGGCTTTTTTTCTTGTCTATTTTTGGTGATCCTGAAGATCTCTCTTCACCAGCAGTGTTAGTTTTCTGCATTGGTTTTGCTATAGAATTCTGTAAGACAATAAAAGTCATCTTACAAAACACAAACATTTCAGATATATAAACACTTAGTTTCCACAAAATCCATTAACTCCATTTAAGAGCTGAGACAAAACAGACCTTATCGAATAACGATTCAAACCATGAAGCCAAGAAACCAAATAGTGTGACAACTGAGATTCTGCTTTTTAAGCCCTTAATTTTTAACAGTCTCTTAGTTCAATAAAAAGGGAGAAGTGTTTAAAAAAGACAAAAATGTTGAACTGATAATTCTATGTACAAAGAGGCTCAACAGACCCCAAATCATTACCACAAAGAAAAAACAAAAATGTATGTACAATGCAAATAATCTAAACTCAATTTCTGAGTAGTCAATGATCAGATATACTTACATTAGAACTAAAAGCTATGTTTCTTTGCTGGGAAGATTTTTCACTAGAATTTTTAGTTCCATCATCAGTTAGCTTTTCTGACAGCTAGACGGGTAAAAGAGACAGAGAATTTTTTAAGTTTAGTTTTTAAATTCTGCACAGAGGCCAATTTTATATAAATTTAGTCATACACTCCCAAAGCCGGCTCTAACACCATAGACTTAATAGCTTAAAAAACATAAAAAACTGTTGTCACAAGGCACAATTCTTCTTATTTTATTCCCCTGCTGCAAAATCAAGTAACTCTTTGTATTTTTTTGGTACTAGGGATCGAACTCAGGACCTTGCACTTGGGAGGCAGGAGGCAGAACCACTGAGCTAAATCCCGGCCCAAAATCAAGTAACTCTTGAAAGTAAAGTCATACCAAAAAAATGCCTGGTTTCAACAAACTAAACCATTTGTCAGTAGGGCACCTCATCATTTGAACAAGTAACCAACACTGTACTTGTTGTCTAAGAGTACGCAAACCCACACTTGGGTTCCAAGAAAAAATTCATTTTGAAAGGGTTATCTTTACCATGTTAATTTTATCAATTTTTACCTTAAATCTTCAAAGCTATCAATCTTAAGTTTAGATTTCACATAACAAAAGCACAAGGCAACTTGCCAGTGCACATCCTGTGCATTTCTTGAGAATTATAGTACACTTATCTGCAAGTGAAGCAGGCCTCCTCTTCTGTAATCTCTCAAAATATCTGGAATATATTGCATATATCATGAAAGGGACATCTATTCCACAGATGCCCCACTGTTACAAAGTGCATCTTTGGTTAATTTAAAAATTTTTCTTTGGTAACCATATACGTATAGTACCTATCCCATACTCTAGCATGCACACGGAATTACCAACAACAACAAAAACAAACAACTAAGTTTTCAGTGTGTGAATATAAACTTAAACCTCTGATTCTTTGGCCCAAATACCAATTACCAACAGATTCTTCATCATTGTCTGGAGACCACATTCATGATTTCTATAAGACAGAAATAAAGCAGATAAACTATACTGTATGTTGACTACAACTCTGTGGGAATATAATGCTTCAAATGAAAGCTAAAAACTTGTCTATGAAGACTACAGTAAATAAAAGCTTAACAAAAATCATCAAAGTACCAACAAGACATCATAGTGCTATAAAAGGCTTAAAGTGGTGTGAACTGACAATAAAGTACACTTCCTCCCATTTCATGGGTACAGCCCTGGCTAGTACTCTAAAATCTGACATTTTGTTTCTGGCAAATAATATATGTGTATCTAGACTTCTAGGAAGTGTAGTCTAAGATAAATGAAAAATGGCTAATCAGCCCGGCATGGTGGTTTACGTCCGTAATTCACCACTCTGAAAGGCTCAGGCAGGAAGATTGCCAAATTCAATCCCAGGCTGTAGTGAAATAAAGGAGAAAAAAAAAAAAAGCCCAACAAGAAAATAAGCTGGGTACAGTCATACATGCCTGTTAATTCCAACAATGGGGAGGCTGAGGGAGGAGGACCACCATGAGTTTGAGACCAGTCTGTACTACATAGTGAGACACTGTCTCAAATAAACAAAAATGGGCCTGGGGACACAGCCCAGTGAAGACGGGTGGGGGTGGGGTGCCCCAATCCCCAGTACTAAAAAAAAAAAACGTGCCGGGCGCGCGCGCGCGCGCGCACACACACACACACACACACACACACACACACACACCTTTTCTGACAATAGCTTTCCAAAGGTCTTTTTTTTATAAATCTAGAACACTTACCTCAAACTTTGTGCCATGACCTGCTACAGCTGCTCCATGGTTTGTTTCTTTAGCTACAGAAACAGTTCTGAGACAAGCAGGCAATTCAAAGTTAGTTGTTCCTAAAGCTTTTGCTGCATTGGCTTTTGCTATTTCTAACAGCTCCATACGCTCTAAAGAAAAAAAAAGATTAAGACATTCATTAATGCTGCAGTTCCCACAAAACGTGCATTTTTTTTAAACTTAAAACAGCAATTTGTTTTATTTTTCACAAGTAAAATGTAACTTCAGGAAAATATTAATTCTGTAATTTTTTCCTGAGAAAAACAAGTGTTTGTAAATTATGTAATAATTTTTGAGTTTTTTGACCAAGAGCTGACACCTTTCTTCACATTCAATTGTTAACTGCAAAAGTTAAAATGAACTGTCACTAACTTTTTCTTTTCAATCCTGAGAATCAAACCCATACATTCTACCATAGAGCTAATCTCCAGCCTTTTTAGTCTCACTAAATTGTCCACACTGTCCTCAAACTTGCAATCCTCCTGCCTCAGCACCCCGCTAACATTTAAACGGCCATCCTAGTGGTCCTTTGCACCAAGTCTGTAATCCCAGCACTCTGAAGGTTTAGGCAGTTGGAAGCCAGCCTGAACTACACGGTGAGACCTTGTCTCAAACAACAACAACAACAAACCCATCACCGTATTCTGGTAGCCTGAGGCAGAAGGACTGCAAATTCAAGCCCAACCTGGGGAGCTTACCGAATTAGTCTCAAATAATTTTTAAAAGGCCGAATAAGTAGGTCAGACGCCCTGGGGCGTCAACCCCTAGTACCGCAAACAAACAAAACAAATAAAAGGCTGTACTAAGAACAGCCAGCCACTAAGAAAAAAGTTTTCTCTAACCTGAGCCGTTAACATCACACTCGGACCTTTTTTACACTTTAATTCTACGGCAAAGAACGGTGTCCATTTAAATTAGTTGCAGTTGTAAACTATTAGCCAAACGCCTCCCTCTTTCCCTAACAAGTAACTAATATTAAACTACACACAACTTCGGTTCCCTGGACTACTCTGACACTGCTACCTTCCACATAAAAAGGGGACGGTAACAACGTGGCGTGTAACACAAACCACCCACCTTTTTCACTCAAACGAAAGGGGGTTCGGCTCCGTGACCTCGTCCTGGACGGCGATCTCTCCCTCCACCGGCCGTGCCCCTCCGGGTACCGCCGCGCCCTCACGACGACGCAGTGCGACCTTCTGAAGCCTGATCTTCCGCGTGAGCGACTGCGCGACCTGCGCGGCGAGGGAGACCGGAAATACCTCCGGGGCGGCCCGTAGCGCCTCTCCCGGTAGCGGCGGCCGCGGGATCGGGACCGGCTGCGCGAGAAAGAGCGCGAGTAGCGCCTGTACTTCCGCTGGTGGCGCCTCCTCGACCTGCTCCTTCTCCGAGGCCGGCTGCAACTCGCGGAGGACGAGCGTCTGGAGCTGCGAGAGTAGAAACGGGAGCTTCGGGATGAGGAGCGGCTCCCAGATCGTGAGGACAGCCGGCTGGACCGGTCCGACCCGGAGGTGGACGGAGAATCCTTCTGCGGCGAGCCGGGCCACATGTCGTTCACGTAGTTGGACATCTTCGCCCCCAGCCTCGGCTTCCTTTTCTTTAGAAAAACTCCCTTCTTTCAAACTCCAAAGTGCCTGAAAACAAACAGGAGGAAGGGGGAAAAAATCAAAGCCCCGAAGTGGGTAACCGGCCGGCCACCGCGGGAGGCGGAGCAAGACGCAGGCTGAGGATGGGACCGCGCCCTAAGGGCCCGACTCCGCGTCAAGGCAGCGGATCCCAAAACAAACTAGGCCTTATCGCCCCGCTTCCTGCGCCACCGGCCAGGCGCTTTTCCAGGAGCCACTCACGCCGAAGAGAATTACGGATCTGTCCTCTCACCACTCACCGCAGGGTGCCGACGCCTCACTCAGGATGGTGGGAAAGGCCCTACAGACGCCTCCTTCTCGAAACTTTGGACAAACAGAAGCTTCGTATAAGCGCTCGCTAGCAAAAAGGCAACATCCAACCCTTTTCACCTTCGGACGTGAACTGAGCCGGAAGTCTTCAGACGCATCAAGAAAATACTAGAAGCTGACGCCTGGGGCATGCGCAGAGAATGGCGCGGTAGGCGTGACTCCCCTCCTGCCCAATCATCGCCCTCCTCTTTTCATACCCCGCCTACTTCGGCGCGCGAGCACTACCTAGGGTGCGCGTGCGCGATCCGATTGCGCGGAGCCGTTACATCCGGGTTTTCATTGCTTCCTTGTTTTCCGTTCAGAGAGAACGGAAGAGCCCGGCTCCTAGCCAGTAAACTTTCGCAGCTGCTGGACGCCAGGTAGTGCACCTGTCGGCTGGCATGGCTGGGCTGTGCTTTGGGCAAGTTCTCTTATCCAGTGTCCCGCAGACACTCCGCCAGGCTCAGGACTGGTGAGGAGATGGAGAGGGGACCACGGCCATCTCCCAGAATATCACAGGATCCTGGAAAATGCAGATTCTTTTACTTTCGTGTCTTGACCAGTAAAGGTAATCAAGAGAGAGACAGAATATGCAAAGGCAGCCATAGTTGGTCTTTAAGGGGTAAGAATGATGCCTCAGGTGTCCATTCTTAGGACCATACGCTTGGTGCAGGAACTGTTTCCAGGAATTTAGAGTGCATTGCAAACATTACTGTAATGTCTTGAAAATTGTGGATGAACGTTTTATTGAATGAACTAACTAAAGAGTTAATTACTGTATACACTCCTTTTACAAAAGGCATTTTTTTGTTGTTGTTTTTGTTTCGTTTTACTATTAGGGATGGAACTCTGGGCCTTATGCTTAAGTGGCAGGCGCGGTGGGGATTGAAGGGAGTCATGAGGATGACCTTCCCAACTGTACTGTGTCCCTCAGCTCGGTCGGGCGCTCTCTGCTTCCTGGCTGCTAAGAGCTGCGCAGCTTTCCTCTGTCATACTCTTCTGCCATGTTTCTCTGCCATGCCACAGGCATAAGAGCAATATATAGCCAGCTGATGGCGGACTGAAACCACCAAATCTGAGGCAAAATAAATCTCTTAAATTGATTTTTTTCCACATTTTTCTTTTGGGGGGGTGGGGTACCAGGGATGGAACTCTGGTCCTTGTGCTTGTGAGGCAGGCGGTGGAACCACTGAGCTAAATCCCTGGCCCACCTATTCCTTATTTCTTATCCATGGACTTTTGCATAGTTTCCAGTTTTTTCACCAACAGAGATGCCTCAGAAACATAGAAAAGCAGTAGCACGGAGTTTATCTGCAGTTCCTAATCCAAATGCTCAGCACAGCTCTATAAAGGACACAGCATGGAGCTACTGATTGCAATAAAGACCCAGCACCACTGCAGGAGTTATCTCCAGTAGTGGTGGGGTAAGCACAGCTCTCAGAAAGGAGCAGAGGAACTTCCAACTGACATGCTTATCACAAGGGTGAGGATGCAAAGAGGAAAAGAGTCATATTACTTTCCAGGAAGGTTGTCACATCGTACTATGAGAATGCCCTCATGACCCTCAAAATAGGACATTCCCCATTTTAGGTTATCTTACTTTTCTGTATCTCGGATTGTGGCACTTAGCACAACTGTGATTAAGTCTTAGTTCATTTTGTAACGTGCTTTTCCTGCCAGAATGTAAGTTACATAAGTACAGAAACTTGGTCTTACTTTATCCCAGCATTCTGGACAGAGTATTGCATATAGCAGACTCTCATCTGGTGTTTTCTGATTGAAGAAATAAGCAGAATCTCAAGTAGGTCTGGTGGGACAATCATAGGGCAGAGACGAGAATATTTTAGCAAACAAATGGAAATACCCGTTTTAGAATTTGGAGACAGAAAATTAAGCAAAAGGTTATGATGGGAGATTTTGTACAGTAAACCCAGAGGTGTAGATTTGGATAAGATTGTGGTTAGCCAAGAATGTGAACATCTGTTCATCAAGCCCACAGGGACCTTGTTTATCAGAAATATTAAATCTACCTATAAAAAGTTGACCAATGGGGCTGGGGATTTAGCTCAGTGGTTCCAGCGCCTGCTTTGCAAGCACAGGGACCTGAGTTCAATCCCTGGTACCAAAAAAAAAAAAAAAAAAATTGACCGATACACTGAGATAACACACATTTTACCTAATTGGATGGGAGAAAAGAAAACACCTGCAAGGGCCGGGGATTTAGCTCAGGACCCGAGTTCAATCCCCGGTACCAAAAACAAAAAAAAAACAAAAAACACCTGCAGGATCTAAGAGAAGAGGGGGCAGGAACAGAGGAGGAGATGCAAAAAGAATTAAGATGTATTATATATATGTATCAACTTCCCATGATGAATGCAATCATTTTTAATGTGATCATTAGTATAAACATGTAATAAAAATTTAAAAGATTTGGGAGAAGAGTGATTAAAAGGCTTTGAACCTTAGATTGGGCATGGTGGTGCACGTGTATAATTCCAGCACTTAGGAGGCTGAGGCAGAAGGCTCTTAAGTTCAAGGCTAACCTAGGCTACATAGTGAGACCTTGTCTCATAAAAGTAAAACAAAGTTTTTACCTTAACATATACCCAGTTTAAACACCTAACACAGCTGTACTACAAAATGGGTACTCTCGTACTTCATAGTCTACTAGAACTATAAAATACTTCCCATAATATATACAGTCCAGTGGTTTTTAGTATATTCATTGTGCAACCATCGCCACTAATTCCAGAACATTTTTATCAACCAAAAAGAAACTCCCAGCCCATGAGCAATTACAACTCATTTCCAGGCCCTTGCAACCACTTACCAACTTTGTGCCTCTATAGCTTTGCCAGTGCTGGATACTTCATATAAGTGGAATTACATAATAGTTGGTTTTTTGTGTCTGGCTCCTTTCGCTTAGCCAGTTTTCAATTTCCATCTATATTGCAGCATGTAACAGTACCTAGTTCCTTTGTGTAGCTGAATAATACATCATACTGATACATGTGTGTACCACATTTGTTTATCTATTCATTGGCTGATGGACACTTGTGTTGTAGTTGTTATTGTTGTTATTATGAATACTTCTGCTGTGAAAATCCAAAAACAAGAGTTTTTGGGCTTTTGTTTTGTTTGCAGTAGTAGAGATTGAACCCAAAGTATTTGTGCTAAGCAATATCCCTATCCTTTTTTATTTACTTTGAGACAGGGTCTGTCTAAGTCATTAAGTTCCCCAGGCAGGGCTCAAATTCACGGTCCTCTTGCCTCAGCCTCCCAGAGTGCTGGGATTCAGGTATACACTGCCATGCCTGGTTAAGAATTTTAATTTAATTTAATTTAGTGCCTTTATTTCTCTTAAGGATGATATTGCTGAATATGCAAATCAGTTTTTTTGTTTTTTCTGGTACGGGGATCCAGCTCAGGATCTTGTACTTGGTAGGCAGGTGTGGCACCAGAGCTAAATCCCCAGACCCATACAAATCAGTTTCTAAAACTATCCACTGAGGGTTTTTGTTTGCTTGTTTTCTTTTCAGAGAAGGTCTTGCTATGTAGTTCAAGTTGGCCTTGAACTCACAGCAATCCTCCCAGGTGCTGGGATTTCAGGGGTGCATCACCATATCGGATTTAAATACAGAATCTTTCTGGTAGGGCCTCTGCCTTTTTAACGGTAAAATGTGTTCATAGAGACTGTTTTGTCAGGACAACAATCACATGCTTCATGGAATCTTAATTAGGACATACTATTAGGTCTTGAGATTGTTATGCTTCCCTTTTGGAAGTCTATCCGGTGCTTTGAAGAATTAACAGTTCTGGAAACCTGGCTGTACTTGTGATTCACACTTCCTTTGAGAACACTGTCACCACCCAATTGCAGGATGTGCAGATTGTCAGTGTGGGGCAGCGTGCAAATGCTCTTCTGAAAGCTGACAGGGCAGCACTGAGCACAGCTTACAGATGCGCCCCAGGATTACATTTTTTTTTTCTATTGCTGTGTGTCACACTTTGCCAAACAGGGTATGGAAAATGAATAGGCAGTTTTCTTACACACTTCTTAATAGACAGTTTGTCACCATTAACTCCATTGTATAAGAAAAGCATAAAAACAGTTCCACAGCTACAACAATGTAGTTGCAAATGTACAATTTGAATGAATTTATTTTTCCAGGACTTTTAAATTATTAGCACTACTTGCATGAAAGAGATCTAGTACATAACTTTCAGAGAAGTTTATAGACTTCTTTTTTAATATAGCACCTACGACAAGGAATTTGAAGGCACCTCCCCCATACAGGGGAGGGATATTTCTCTTCACATTCTAAGGTGATACCCCTCATAGCAACTGAATTCCTTAACACCTGTGTTAGTCTATGAGGGCTGGCATAGCAACAACTCAGACTGTGTGGCTTCAGTAATAGAAACCTATTGCCTTACAGTTCTGGAGACTGCAAAGTGCCAGCCAGCTTAGTTTCTGGTGAGGCCTCTCTTGTCTACAGGTGGTTTTCTTCTAGCTGTCGTCTCATGTAGCCTTTCCTCTGTGCTTTCTTCCTCTTCTTATAAGGATACCAGTCCTGTTAGATTAGGACCCTACTTTTATGCCTCTTAATTATTACTTCCTTAATAGGCTCTTTCCCAGTACAATCCCATTGAGAGTTAGGGCTTCAAAATACAAATTTGGAGAGACACACTTCAGTCTCTAACAGAAATCAGTAACAAAAAAGACATAATTTGTGATTATTGTTCTTATGCATAAACTTTCTCAGTGTTTCACTGCCTTTAATTCAGATTTTCTATCCTAAAGACTTCAAGAAAAGTCCCTATCTCCCCCATTGCCAATTCCATACAATGATAATAGATACAACTTTTGACCACTAGGTATAAAGCGGAAATTGTTTCAGATTCTGAGGCTATACACATGAATGAACCGAAGCTCCTCTTAAATACTTATACCCTAGAGTCTTACAAATTCTGAAAATTGTAACAAAGACATATAAGGGTTCACAAATTCCAGATTATCACATGTCTTTTTTAGAGGAAGCTGGATCTAGAGTGTGTGACACTGGGATTGATTCATGGTGCAATGCTAGATCAAGGGCACTAGGATTAAGGGTGTGAGTGCTACCTGCCCTAAGTAGCCTGGACAAAACATAAGGGAGACAAAGAGCTGCAGTCACCCTTTGTTGCTTTGCTACATTCTGCCTACCATGAGCTGTTTCTCCTCTGCAATGCCACCCTGCCTTCAAGCCAGCCAATTACATACTGAAACTTCTGCAAACTATGAGCTAAATAAATCTTTCCTCCTTTTACCTTGGGTGTCAGGTATTTTGTCTCAGTAATAAGAAAAGTAATTAGGACATAGTGCATGGTGGCTCAGTGCTGGGAAGAAGGGGTAAGAAGATCACAAATTCAAGCCTACCTTGGGCAATTTAGTGATTTAGCAAGAACCTGTCTCAAAATGAAAAAGGCTTGGGAATATAGTTCAGTGGGAAGGCCTGCCTTTTTATTTAATGTTTAACTTTTTTTATTTTTGGTGGTACTGGGGATTGAATCCAGGGTCTTTACACC